TCTATTAACTTTTCGATAAAGCTTTCAATTTTCGACTTATAAGCCAACTATTGTCTGAAAAGCTCTAAACCAAGGTACATTCGATGCTCAAAAACACGGTAGAAGACTATGATTTTTAAGGTCGGGAAGTAACTGAACCCAAGTTTAAACCTTGCTGTATAGGACCCCAAAGTATTTTGAAATTACTTTATTTTAAAGCGATTTTTAACCTTGTCTGTTAGGCCACAATTGGATAACTTTCAGTTGTAGCAGCACAAAGCCACAAAGCAGAACCTGCGACTGAACATATCTAAATCGACAGTTGCACTTTTTTGCTCCACGAAAGAGCCTTCCTTATACCAAAATTAATTATACAGTAATGGACAAAAGTATATAGACAAATTAATATTGTGCTGTATTTCTTTTTTAACTTGTTTTATTAATACACCATCCTGTATACATAATTCGTTATAGCATAATACTCACTTATACATAAATAAATTCATTAATTAGTTGAAAAAAAAAACTGGAACTATGAAGGACAAAAATATATAGACAGAGCAAAACAATTATAGAAAAAAGAAGCAAAGTTCATTGAATTATAGAAAACCAACCATGTTTGTGTTAATATTTTGTAGCATAACCATTATTATCAATCACCGCCTGGCATCGCCTCGGCATAGACTGTAGAAGTTTCTTGATACAAGATTCATCAATCTGTCTCCACTTTTTCTCTAAATCGGCAAAAAGTTCATCCATGTTTGAATAATTTTTATCTCGTAATTGCTTATCTAAGTATTCCCATAGATTTTCAATGGGGTTTATATCGGGAGACTGTGAAGGCCATTTGAGAACTGGTATTTTTGCATCCTGAAAGAATTTCTTTGCGAGATTTGAAGTGCGCTTCGGGTCATTATATTGCTGGTAGATTGATCTTAAGGGCATATTGTCTTCCATATAGGTTAACATGACATGCTTTAGGATGTCTGTGTATACAAACTTATCCATACTGCCATCTATTCTATGTAAAAGCACCACCAAACCATAACAGACCCGCCTCCCTGTTTGACAGTGGGTAAAGTGTACTTGGTGTTCAATCTTTGTCCACTAGGACGTCTGAATGTAATGAGCACCATCTAATCCAAACTTATTGAACTTGGATTCGTCACTGAAACATACCCTCTTCCAGTTACAGATGCTAGAATCAAGATGCAACCGTGCAAATTGTTATCGGTCCTTATGGTTTCTCCTCGAGATTCGCGGCTTCTTACTCGGGCGACGTGCAAATAACTTCAAATCATTTAATATTCTACTTATAGTTTTCGTAGAAACACTGACAATTCCTTTTGTATCGATTTCGGCTTTTAATTGTCTTGGGGTTTTAAACTGATCTTTGGACGAAATTACTTTTATTAATGTAACTGATCTACCATTTAGTTTTCTGGGCCGACCACTTCTCTTAGAGGCTTCCAGGATACCTTTTTGTTTATATTTGTTCAATATTGCCCAAACTGATTTACGCTTCAGCTTCAAATTTTTGGCAATGTCTACTTGACGTTGACCATCTTTGTGTAACTCAATGATCATAGTTTTCACATCGAAAGAAATTTCTGGACCACGCGGGATGGTCAACCACAATACTTGATGAACACAAACTAATCGTCTTCTGACACGAAACTGTACTAAACTAATGTTGAAAAGAATTAGTCTGCATATTTTGTCTCTCATAAAAAAGTGCTTATATTCAGACATGTATTGTGTTCATTGCAGATAATGTAAAAACAAGGAATTTAGTTTTTCTACTAACAACGCATTTGTTTATAGAGCAATGAAGTATGAATTCGTTTTCTAAAGGTATTTAGGTAAATATTCATATTTGTCTGTCTATACACTTCAGTCCATCACTGTATCTGTCAATAGTATCTTGGTAACGCTTTCAAATTCCACACAAAAAAATAGGTTTATACTTGGATGAAGATGTGATGTACCATTTACGTGAATCAAGTGATCTCAGATTTCTATATGTAAATAATACTATATTAAACAGAAAAGTCAAGAAAAGTTTATGCGAGTGATTGATACTCTTTTTTTTATACACCAACTACCACGAAGGCCTAAGGCCTAAGCACCCATTGGGTACCGTGGGGCTATAGGCGGATACATGTGAAAGAGATAACCGGTAAGATTACTTACCGCAACATTGTTTATTATCGCTGCCTGGGCGACATCACAAAATATAGGCGGAAAAATATTCAAAATACACGTTGCCGCTATATAAACAATTTAAGAAGGTACGATCACTTTTCTCACTCAATAGCTTCCAAGAATGGGCTGAAAATATCAGATATGTCCAAATACAACTGTGTCTCATTGGTCATCACAATATTAAAAGCCTCTGCTCCCTCTTATCTCATGCAAAAGCTTGTTTATTGGAACTTGATTCACAATTTGAATACGCGTAGCATCATTTCTTCATGATATCACTTCATAAGATAGCCATAACACATTGCTCTTTGACGCACAATGCAGTGAAATTAACTAATTCATTTGACAAAAGCTTTATTAGCAGCTGTTCCAAAGAAATAGCAATTATTTATTAACAGGTAGAATGCCAAGTGTGGTTCACCGTCTCATGATGCGCCGTGTCGTAACGAGTTTTTTCACCCCGCTTTTTGGAATTTCCCCTTGCACTTTCTTAGCATAGCAACATATGCATTATTTTTTCACTTTATCGATAGCCCCTATTTTCTGCTACAGGGAATGTCTTTTTGAGGCTGTTGAGATCTGGTGTGGTCGGGATTTTTGTAGATTGGTGTTATCGTAATTCAGAAGTGATAATACCAGTTGCTCTCGAAACTCTGTCATTTTCTAATTCCGCTGAACGCTACGACCGTCAAAAACAAACTAACCTAATTGCAAAATATTTTTGTTTCATATTTCTGACACGAAGTTCACAAGTTCAAACTCGCGAAAGACGACCGCTTGGCACTAAGAAAATGATAATGTCAGTTATGCCGCGGCGGGCGTATACGACCGCTGACTTATTTTTGCCAATATGTATGCTAACAAAAAAATATAAAGAAAATTAATTATTTAGTATAGCGAGTCATGCAAGAAGCTTCACTTTTTTAAGTTGGCACCAGACACATTTACTACGATTGTTCATGGCAGTCAACCTGTTAAGTGTGTAATATTTTTTCCCGGTTTCAAATATGCGTTCGTCTTCTGTCTTTCCCTGATTTGGCAAAGTGGTAGCTCGGCCTTCTAGACCCTCTAATTACTTATTCCCTTTGAGCTAGGTTAAGATGGTAGTCAGTTATGTAACATGGTTGAGTGTGTGTATGACCATTGATTAGACTTATGTGTTTGTTACAATAAATCCGATTGAATTGAATTGTATTGAATTTCAAAGGCGCAAAGAAGCAGCAAGCTATTCAATGGAATTCCGTAGATGGGTCGACACTCACAAGGAAGCTCACTGTTGACAATTTCTTCAAACATGTGGGCGTGTGCAAATAGGTTTGAATTCAATCACTAGAGAGGCTGAGCAAACTGTGGATTCCTCCTTTCACCACGTCACCTGCCAACCCTGGAACGACCATCGTGCATGCCTAAACAAAATCGAGACTCGTCACTAAAGACAATACTGTTCCATTCCTGATCCCAGAGTGACCGTTGTCTGCACCACTCAAGGCGATTACGTCGGTGTTCTCGAGTTAAAGGGAGGACCCAGTGTGGCCGGTATGAAAACAAGCCAAAACTTCTCATTCGTCGGTAAACACTTCGCATGCCAATAGATCTTCCGTGTTTTGCAAACCATTCATTTGCAATGGACCTGGTAGTGGAGAAACGGTCCCTTAAGGCCAATAATCTTAGGCGGCGATCTTCACGGTCTGTTGTTCTACAGCGGCGTCCAGTGCCCCTTGGTCTTTGCGTACGGCCTTCTCGAAGCCATGCCTGACAACACCTAACCACAGTGTCTACACTTCTTTGCACTCTAACTGCAATTGCTCGAAAAGAAAGTCCAGCTTCCCGAAGTCCCACTATACGGCCCCTATCAAACTCACTAAGTTGACGAAATCGTAGTCTCCGTACTCTAGGCATCGTAGCCGATCGTAAAGGATGTCAAGAACCAAAATCCGCCAACGTTGATTCTTTACTGCGGCTGAAATATTCATTTTTAGAGCGCTAGTGAATTAAAAAAAAGCAGTATAAAAACCGAAATGTCCAACTGATAAGGCTGAAAATGTTTCACTTGTTATTTACAGTAAGATAAATACATTCACCAACTTTTATTAAAATAAAACCATTTAAACTGGGTGTTCGGATTTATATGTCACTTAGTTTACTTATTAAGCTGAAATTTTATGTAAGCAGTTTTTAAATTCTTCAAAGCTATTCCTAAATAATTTCTTAGACCATTATAATATCCACGATGTTCTTCATTTCTGGTTCTTCTAAACTTGTTGTATGCTTTCAAATTTATTATACACTTGACTATATGTGTCACATAAGGTCTGTAGTTCTTACGTGAAGTAATTCTTTTTAATGTAATATGAAGAAATTTGTCATCAAGAACTTTTAGAACTATTAGCTATCCGGTAAAACATACATCCATAGTTCCATCAAAGTTCATTTGTTCTTTGAGAAAGGTCATACACATAAAAGAAGCACGTTGTATCTTTTTTTACAATTCGTGAAAAAATCTTTCAGTTTTGGTATGCATTGTTCCGAAAAAGGAAATATCTATTGAAAGGTTGCAAAAAAAATGTTCCTGAGAAAAGTGGAATACAGGAATCCGCATTAATCTATTTTCTGACGTATGTACAAACTTGTACCGCGTATCACCAAGACTAAAATCATTTGCCAAGTAGAGGGATCTGTCTTGGATAAAAACAAAACCGTTTATCTTTGACAACGTCTCCACCTGCTTCATAAAGGAGAGAAAGTTTCTTGCTTGGAGCCTCAAGTATTCCATATAACATTATTATCCACCTGTCCATCGGCGAGGTTCACATTATTCAGCATTTCTCGGAGAAACTGCCTCCTTGGTTTGCGATATCTGTCAACCCTCCTTTCTGAGACTTTATTATATGTGACAGAGGGCTGTACTTGACTCCGCTAAAACTGAAATCCTTTCTCCTTTCTCTTTGTATTAGAGAGCTCACATAATTATTGTCGTCGTTCCCTTTCGCTAATGTCTTCGCTTATAAGAACTCTTCCATTTCATTTCCGGACTCAATATAATTTTTCCATCACCGACTCAGCCTACTATAAGGAGAATTGAGTTGCTTTCCGAAAGGAAATATCTATCAAACACTGAGCGTGATGCTAGCGTATCTGCACGAGCCGCTTGGTTTGCTTCTTGAATCAAAGAAAATCGCTATTTTCACTTAAAAGGAATTGTTCCTAAATTGAGCATGGTATAGAGCAGTGATCAACTCTTTCAGTGTGTTGGGCTACTTTGAAAATTTTGGAATAAACAGTGATCTTACCTTGTCGTGAGCAATGTAAGCCAACTTATACACAGTTGTATGCGACATACATGTGTTTATTTTACTCATACTAATACATACTAATAAACTTTAATGAACTAATAACTAATACATACTACATCACTACATCCACTCCTACCAATCGTAGGTGTTTGAAAAATAAACAAAAATTTCCATCGGCTACAATGGCATGTCACATACGCTTTAATAGAGGTAACTAAAATAAAAAAAGCAACGCACTATTTTGAACAAAAACATGAGAAGCCTAACACTCAGACTCACTGACAATTTTCCAAATGTTCATCTGTAAGTCGATTATGGTATTTGTTTTTAATAGACCTCATAGATTAATTGGTTGAACTAAATAATGCTTTCATTTTCAAGGCAACACGACATAAAACTGAATATTTATCTTTACTTATGAAGGCGAGATACAGTTTGTATTTGAGACTAATGAGTTTGAAGCTAAATCATTTTGAAACGCAATCACTTCCATGTCTGTCGCAGCGACGTCTTCGCTAAAATTATGCGTAACAGAAGTTGAAAACTGTTGGATATCAACTTCCATGATGGGTGAAACAACAAGCTGCGCCACTATGGCAATTTCGTTGAAACCATTGAAACGATTTTTGAAGTTATCTTTCAAGTTAGAGACTATTTCCACATGATATTTACTGTCATATGGTGTTACGAGGGATGTCTTTTAAGTTTTGCATATGGAAATAAAACATTACACGGTAGGTAGTTTTAAATGACCTTATTGTTTTTCTAAGTATTCTCCACGAAGATTAATACACATCTGCATGCGCTCGAACCAATTTTCGAAGCACTTATTATACTCGTTTGCTGGCAGATCCCAAATGGCATTTTTGAATGCGTCAACTGCTTCTTTTGGGGACTGGAACCTTTGACCACGCTGTTTTTAATTTTCGGGAAAGTAAATAAATCGTTAGGACTTAGATGGAGGATGTTCCAATAATTCCACGTTTTCTTCCGTTAAATACTGCCTTGCTTTTTGGGCTGTGTGCGAGCTTGCATTGTCTTGGTGCAAGATGATTCTTCTTTCGGGGTTGACTTTTCGAAGCTCGGTGATGACTTTTGGCAAACAAATGGTGGTATACCAATCCGCGGTAACAGTTCTTTGCTCATTAAGAGGAATTGTTGCAATAACGATGGCTGCTTTCTGCTCTTCAGTCAACAGGTGGGGTACCCAACGAGAAACTAATTTTCTTACTCCTAATTCTTCATGTAAAATTTTTTGGATTGAGGTCTTCACATGTCTATCTTCAATGATGGGTTTGCGCACAGCATCGACGTTTTCCTGGGTGACTGCCGTTTTTGGTGCACCCACCCTGGGATCGTTGCTAAGACTCACCCGTCCACGTTTGAGTTCTCCATACCAACGGGAAATTGTCGACAGATGTGGCGCTTCGTTGCCGAAAACAGACAGTAACTCAGCAAGGCATTCTTGTTGCGATAATTGTTTCTCAAAGGTGTAATAAATTATGGCGCGAAAATGTTATCGGTTGAGTTCCATTTTTCTAATGACTTGGAGACACTTAAAAATTCAATGTAGTGAGAACACTGCACGTATTGTTGTGAAACTTTGAATTTAAGTTTACTAAAGAGTGAGGTTAAGATTCAGTACTGACGTTCGAACCGCGCGGCCTACTATGTTTCTATATGCAAGACTTAAAAGACATCCCTCGTAATCGATTGAGTTTTATTCCCAAAACTCAAGCTTTTTGATAAATGCTTTTATAGTCCTTTGTCTCTCCCCTGAAGCTGCAAATTAAGTTTATTTAATTTTTCTGAAATATCCACAAGAAACCAAGATCTCCGAGCCATATTGAATTTTAAAGTTCCGGAATCGGTTCATCACGTTGTTTGAAAAATTCAACAATGCAGATATGATATCATTAAAACCCTTCAACACTTGACCCCTACTTAACCATCGGACTTCACAGTGAAGAAGTAGTTCCCCGTATTGACAGTCAATTTCATCGGTCAAGGTTTTGAATAATATTCCTTGTAACGCTTGAGCTCCAATCTTATTTACAATTTTGACTACCAATTTCATAACGTTGTTTAGTTTGGAAAATGTCCACATAATGCTTGCTGATGGATAATGCAGTGGTAACGGAGAAATTGCGGAAAACTTTCATCTTCACTACATAACCTCACGAGACCCTTATTACGACCCACCATAGCTGGAGCGGAATTCCCTCAGAAGGAACAATATTTTTGAAAGAATAAAACAAGTCCTGCCCAGCAGTATGTCATTCTAGTGAAATAAACTTCAAGAGATCTTTTCTAATCGTACAATCACTAACAACCATCCTGACGAACACGTCCATCTGAGAGATGTCAACGACATCTGTGGATCCATTCAGCTGCAGCAAAGAATTAGCACAGTTATCGAAGTCATTTCTTAACTGTAACACTATATCATTGCTCATTACTTCTACTCTTCTCATCACTGTATTAGCAGAAAGTTGGATAGACTTTATAGCAGGCACTATCTCGTCTGTATTTCTAAAGTTGACAGATAATGAATCTGCTGCTCTTAAAAGCGCCTGTCTTATCATTTCCCTGTCTTCATAAGGTTTCTTCTTTCGTGTAATTATCTGGGATATCCGGTATGACGCTTCAGTTGCAGCCTTAAAAACATTGTCTGTTGTCCAATTAACTGATTTTTAAATTGTTTAAGTTTTATCGTTCTGGTTGCAGAACGTAATGGGAATGATTCTTCAAAATTCGAATGTACAGTTTCATAGCGCCTCTCGATATTTCCCTTTTTAGCAACGGAAACATAACAAACATACATTTTTACCTTTAACTTCTGTAAAGAAATATTGTTCTTCCAATTCCGAATTGAAATGGTATGTCTTCATCTTCTTACTACCGCTCATAATGTTTTTAATTGCAGGCCAACTCGAACCCAACCGCTGGACTTTGTGCCGTATTTATTCCGTTCGTAAGTAAAGTAATCGAGATCATTCTCGAACAGATCGCTCACCGCAGTGTTGGCGTTGCTTGTGTTTATTATGAGAATTTACAAAATTTACGGAAGCTTCTGAGATTTCTACACCTTTTTGAAATATGTTGTGAACCACCAGAGTTGCCTTTGCGAGCTACCGGTACCTGTCAATAACTCAAATTTTATTATAATTTTATTTTGAGGTCATTAATTATTATTGATTGTTCGACCATCTGCAACTGTAATATATATATATAATATACAGGGTGTTCCTTAATGATATGCGAATATTCAAGCGTGTGAATCGGTATGAAAAATTAATGTTAGTTTGCTCTATAAACCATGGTCCAAAAATGTTTCCTTACAAAAACGCGGGGTGTTGCAAGTTTTAGGAAAAAAACTGGAAGGTAATTAATATTTTCAGAACCGCTTCAGATATTTCAATGATATTCAGTAAGTAGTGAAAGTTAATAAAGTTGCATATGTTTCAATGCAAAAGCAATTTTTAGCTTTAACAGTGGCGTGCGTATGGGTATTGACTTCAACATTTTTTATGAAAAAAATGGTACGCCAATGATTTTTTGCGAAATTTTTTGAATTTTTGAATTCCCCGTGCAATTTAAAACAAATGATCTTTCATGAATTGTTTTCCTTCGATGCGCCATTTTTGAGTAAAAAAATAAAAACCGTTGTCCGAGAAAATTAATGTAATAATTGAAGAATACAATTTTAGTAATAAATATATAGTTGCTCTGGAATATGTCACTGGCTTTTGACATCTGACAAGTCTCTGTTATTCAAATCTGTTCGCTGTGACATCTTTTTCATTATTTAGTTTTTACAATCTTGTTAATAATGGTGAATAATTATTCAAATGCAGAAATGCCGAAAATGCCGACGGTAATTGTGAGCAAGCCAGACGGATTTATCACCAAAGATATCCCGATCGTGCTTTGCGAGATAGTCGAACTTTTTCAAGTATTCATCGTCGTCTTGTATGAACTGGTTCTGTCCGAAAAGGAACATCTGAAGGTAGACCTCTAAGTGTGAGAATACCTGAAATTGAGGAAGCAGTGCTGCACGAAGTGGAGGAACATCTTGAAACGAGTACGAGGAAGAGCGCTAGACACTTAAATATTTGCCATCAAATTATATGGAGAATTTTAGTGGATTTTTTGTTTTATCCTGACTATATTTTAAGAGTACAGGCATTACTTCCCAATGATTTTCCAAGGCGTGCGACCTTTTGTCAGTGGCATCTTCAAAAAATTACACAAAATCCGCAATTTGAATCAATGATTCTGCTCACGGACGAAACTAATTTTTCTCGAAATGCCATTCAGAATTTCCACAATAATCATTTGGGTGTAGAAGAAAATTCCTATGCCGTATTCGAAACCCATTTCCAACACCAATTTTCGGTTAACGTATGGGCAGGAATTATTGCTAATTTTTAGGAATCATTGGAAACCACTTTATTGGCCCATTCTTCTTGCCGGGACGACTTGACGGACAGACTTACCTCAATTTTCTTCAACAACAGTTGCCTTTGTTGATTGATGATGTTCCGCTAGTAATAAGAAACAATATGTGGTACATGCATGATGGCGCACCAGCGCATATCAGTGAAGCGGTTCGTAATTGTTTACACACTGCTTATCCAAATCGTTGGATTGGCCGCGGTGGGCCCCAAGAATGGCCACCAAGGTCCCCAGACCTCAACAGTTTAGA